CAAAACTTCGGGAAATCATTTTCGATTTAAATATCCACGGTAGGAAAATGTCAGAAGTATTATCAGGGGAGTTATTATTTTAACGGAAAGTACCTACGGAAAAGATATAATACTATGATATATCAATTCGTAAAAATGGCCTGCTTAATTTTGTTTCGATAAATTTATAAAGATTTATTTTTTAATATGTTTGCATTTCATTTCCTGCAAAATTCTCCATTCTCCAGTTAGTTATTTAATACCATAGCGCGACACGAATGACCGTTTCGTTTAGTTTCAGACGCGCTAAACAAAAACTTCTTCTATAAATAGATTTTCGTGAAATTTGATCCCGTTCCCATTCATTAATATGACATGCTGCAAATCACCGAAGATGAAACCAATATATGACTTTAGAAGGAATTCTTCTTTCCGAATTTACTTTTAGCTGTAAATCGAAGGGATTAATTGATAAAAATCGGATCTATGAACAAAAAATAGTAAACACAAATATCTCCGTGCCTGTTAGGTTACTTTTTTCAATTATTTTTAATCGGAGGCTACGTCCCAATATTTTTAACGATTTATTTTTAAATTTAAATACATTCATAGAGAATGTTTAAAGTAACACTTGATTATTTATCAAATTTTTGGTGTCACGTGAGAAATTGATAAAGGATAAAAGTCATATATTATGTAGACAAACAACGTTCGCTTCGACGTTACTCAGTCTGTTGTTTATTTGCAATTTTCAAAACATAATTTGATAAACTTATTAAGTCACTAAGTTATTAGTAGGTCTATTGTCCTATTGATATGTACCGGCAAATTTCTTTCTCGCAGCTAGTAAAAACACGTGGAATCTATTGCTTTAAAAAAAGTCTAATGTGTATGCTCATATATGTTATTATCAACATAAAATGGAAGATGAAAATAAGGGCAAGTTTAAATTTGACAACTTTGGATTATTCCTAATACTTTAATTATAATGCTTCCTTCTGATAAAACCATACGCAGGTCAAGTCTTTTTCCATCTTTTATCCTTTTACGTAGCTATTTATACATCTGCTCCAGTACAGTAGAATAATTATTATTATTGTTGTTGTTGTTCTTGTCATCGTTGGCGGCGGCGGCGTCACTATCATCATCATTTTTGATGTTTTTTTTTCATTATCCAGTTCGTATAAATATACATTGCATACATTATACAAATTTAACAAACATTTTACAAATTGTTTTAATTGCAAGAATAAACAATGGTACATCAGGAAAAAAAACATTTATAGAAAATAAGTAGATTTAAACTTATTTACAATTATGTTAAATGTTACATTATTTAACATTAAAAATACGCCCGTCACAAAAGCTTTTGACAGAGATGTGGGCATTATAAATATGCATATAGGAGATATATGCTCTGGGCAATATCTGGACAATATCTGGATATTTTATCATCTCTAGTGACCTTGACCTTGCAAATATTAACCTCAATTGCATGTGCCACACTTGTATTCATGATAGTTATCATTTGTGTTACAATCCATCACTAAATGATAACTAAATGGTACGAATACACATTTTCGATACTTTTATCTGAACTTTGACCCTATGTTTGACCTTGACCACAGGCACTTGAATTTCGCACGCCACACTCAATGCATGTCTATCAATGGTGAACATTTGTGCTAAGTTATATTGAAATCCCTCTATGCATGTAGAAGTTTTGCTCCGGACAAGCGTTTTTCAATGACCTCGACCTTGACCTTTGAACTAGGGACCTGGTTTATGTGCGCGACACAGCTTCTCATAGAAGTGGACATTTCTGTGAAGTTTCGTTAGAATTCCTCCTTGTGTGTAGGAGATATGCTCCGAACGAAATTGGACGCCGTCCGCTAGACCGCCCGCCCGCCAGGGGGGAACTATAAAACGACTTGTTTTTGAAACGGGCGTATAAAAAAGAAACGTTTCATAGTGTGTTAATAATATTTAATTGACTCCAGTTAGTAGAGTGTGTTTCATGATGTGAATATGCTCCACTTGTTGTTGTTATGGACATCGGCCTTGTTTTTCATTTATGTGATTAGTCTTTCTAAACGAAGTTTAAATCTAGGGTAATTTAAAAATTTAAAATTTAAAAATTCATTGACGTAAAAATTTAAAATTCATTGACGTTTGGTATAGTTTTCTGGTATTTATTTTTAAAAATGAATTATTTACCTAGGAATAAGATATAGTTAATGCAGTTTGATTTCATAATATTTTGAATATCAACATGATACCAAATTTTGACTGTAGAATCAAACCGAGCCTGCAACATTTTCAATTTTGCGGTGTTGGGCTTTCTTTAGGGATTCTGTATTTATCTATTTTGTTAAAAAATTCATGATTTGACACCAAAATGGTTGAAATTGTTGAAATTAAGAGCATTCCTAAAATAAAATGTACATTAGATTATGATGCTGTGATGCAAAACTCGGATAATAAGCACTGAGAACGCCTTTTAAAATCTAGATCTAATATTAAATTTTTCAATATCTTATATATATTTAGATTACATTTAAATATAAGTTGTTTTTATATCAATTTAACATATTTTCATGTGCTTTAACCCATTTTCAGTGTCGCTCCAATTTAATGCGTTTAACCAAAGAGCATTTTAGGAGCTTTCAATGACAAACATTTGAAGCCCCCCACCCTCCCCGATGATTGTAATATTGAATAATTTTATCTCTTGATATTTTTTCTGGTTTGTTGTCCCACAGAAAGTTACACATGAGCTTCTTTATTTAATTTATGATATCTTGGTCTGGATTATGTAAAACTGTAAGAGGATAAATGAGCCGTGTCATGACAAAACCAACATAATGGGTTTGCGACCTGCATGGATCCAGACCAGCCTGCGCATCCGCGCAGTCTGATCAGGATCCATGCTGTTCGCTGTCAGTTTTTCGACTTGTAAAAGGGTTGGTAAGCGAACAGCATGGATCCTGATCAGACTGCGCGGATTCGCAGGCTGGTCTGGATCCATGCTAGTCGCAAACCCATTTTGTTGGTTTTGTCATGGTGCGGCTCAAATAAGTTTGGGCACTGCAAAATGTTTAAGAACGGTTATTTTCAAACAGGGCCTAGTTTCCATCGTTTTCATTATGCAAACGGTGATCGTAAGCATTTCGTTATGTTATTGGTGAATGAATCATTATTATAATTATTATTATTATTATTTTTATTTTTATTGTTATTATTATTATTATTATTATTATCATTATTATTATTATCATTATTATTATTATTATTATTGTTATTATTATTATTATTATTATTGTTATTATTATTATTATTATTATTATTATTATTATTATTATTATTATTATTATTATTATTATTATTATTATTATTATTATTATTATTATTATTATTATTATTATTATTATTATTATTATTATTATTATTATTATTATTATATTATTATATTATTATTATTATTATTATTATTATTATTATTATTATTATTATTATTATTGTTATTATTATTATTATTATTATTATTATTTATTATTATTATTATCATTTAATAAATGTCAGTCTATTATCATTATAAATCAAAATCTCAATATACGACGGGTGTTCAAGATTTGATGTTACTCGGATTCTATCTCGTTGAAATCGTGCTATATGAACTCAAATCCAATACATGTCGATAGCGTGATACCTGGAGAGTAGTATAGGTCAATATCTCGCTCACAATTTTACTAATCTTGGTACTGTGTACATTGTTTTGCAGCGTACTCGTTACACTCAGAAAAAATATGATTGGAAAGAGAGCTGAAAACATGATTAAAATTAGGGCCTATATCAAAGGTAGGTCTCTGCTTGGCCGAAGGATATTCATCGCGAGGTGTGTGTGTGTGTGTGTGCGTGCGTGCGTGTGCGTGCGTGCGTGCGTGCGTTGGTGCGTGTGTGTGTGTGTGTGTGTGTGTGTGTTATAGCAACGACAAAAAAAATACATTGAAAGCATTCGACAAAGCCTGAAGAAATACGCAAGGGACACTGTCAGGCAGTTAGCTAGAATGACAAATTTGCCTTGAGCACGTGTTCATTCATTTTAAAGAAACATTTTTGGGTTTAGTAAGATTAATGCTAGGTGGATACAACATTCACTAACTGACAACCAAAAGAGGTCCCGAGTTGAAAAAGATAAACTTTTGCTGAAAAAATACCAGAAATACATTTAAAAGGCTTTCGGCAATTTGGTCACAGGTGAAGAAACATGGGTGTATTTTTTCGAACCCAATCGAAAATGCTCTTATAAAATCTGGGCCACCAAAGGCGCAAGGAACCCTAGCGTTGCTAAAAGAATACGAACCATGAAAAAGGTTTTGTATGTAATATTCTTTGATAACAGGGGTCCAGTCGTGCAAATTAGGTAGAACTGTCACATGCAAGTACTATAGAGACGTTGTACTTCGCAAACATAAGAAACACTATAAACGCCGCCCCTCACAAACAGGTTTGAAGTACCTCATACTCTTGCATGACAATGCGCTTGCTCATAAGGCACGAATTGTAACGGAGTTTAAGAAGGCATAAACGGTTGCTGTCCTCCCCCAACCCGCTTTTTTCCATACCTAGACCCCTGTAACTATTTCTTGTTCCCCAAACTAAAATTTTACCTGTCTGAAAAAATAATACAAATCAAGAAATGCTCTGGACTCTGTCATTTACAAGTATCTAATGAGCTTACCCATTGAAGAGTACGAAAACTGTTTCAAAAAGTGGATTGATCGGGTGAAAACGTGCTTTTGCTTAGAGGGGGAGTACTTTGAGGGTCGGGGCAAGTTAAAATGATCTTAACGAATTATATCAAAGAGAAAACACAAAAGTAACATTAATTTTGGAACACTCCTCGAAATTATTCTATGTCAAATGTCAAACAGTATTCTCAAATAAAAGACTTTGATAATTGTTTCTATTTGTAGAGTTTAATTTATTTAATAATGCCCAATCAAAACTATTGGTTTCAGTTCCAACGTGCATTCTTATAAATGCTGATGGAACAACGCCACATTCTTTCGGTTATGATGCTGAGGACAAATATGTTGAAATATGCGAGAAGAGGGAGCAACACCAATGGTTCTTCTTCAAAAGATTTAAAATGATGCTTTTTAAAGAAAAGGTATACTATTTTATATAAATTAATGCCACATATAAACTACAAACGTACATATGTACGCGAGTACGCATCTATGTATCCATCTGTACAGACTGAGACAAAACAAAACACTTTCTCAAATTTATAAAGGATATTTCTTGTGACGTAATTACTTCCCATAAAAATTGCTATCTAATTACTTTCGCAAACGGGTGAAATCTTTTACTGTAAACAAATGTATTTGTAATATGCATCTAAGAATAAGCTTTTACAGAATTAGGAATCATTGATAAGAAGGAGTTATATAGAAAAATCTTTTAAAAGATATTGAATTCACATACAAAACGTGAACATGAATTTATAAGTAAACTGTCATAACTTCATATGATACGTGGTCTTTAGCGGAAAAAGAAATAACATAGGCGAGGACAATTTAAGGGGTGATATTAATATAAAGAATTTTCTTAAAGTTTTTCTTAAAGTTAAAAATGCCTAAATTAATGCTCGCTTCAATACACGTTTTTTCCCGGCAAAAGGCAGGGCTAACCCAGATTTTTTTCTGAAAATCGTTGCAAGCGATTGAGGGAAACAGTTCAGACGAAAAAGACAAATACCGTTTAATTTCCGTTAATATTTTCCTTTATAGTAAAGACGATGAAGGCCATAAAGCTTTTAGTTGCCAAAATTATGACATAAATTGTTTGTAATGCTTTTGTTTGACATAAGGAGTCCGTCTGAGAAAGGTCTGACTTCCTATAAAATATACAGGGAAGAACTGAATATAGATAGGATGTTCTTTTGTCATTTTAAAATTACAGACTAAAATCACGGCCTCTCATTGGCCACTCTTAAATTAGTAAGATAATCTAAAGAATCTCTCTGAAACGCATTTCTTTACAATCTAAAGAAGATTCGGAAACAAACAAAGTTTCTCGGACCTGTGACCGTGATTACCCAATAAAACATCAAACAGCAGTTAACACGGCTTTCAAATTTCATAAAATTAAATTCTCAAGTGCTAAGATTAATAAACATCAGAATGATATGTAATATAAATGACAATTTTGTCTAGGATATCGAAATCACCAGATAATCTCACGATCAATTATACTCAAATGCATAAAAATACCAAAAGACACCACATAACACCACTGAACTTTTCTAGTCGCTCAGAAGATTATGTTAATGTTCGTGATATTATACATGTTTGATTATCTATGTGTTCAATTGATTTGAATTTCATGATGCCCATACATATATCCTCGCATATTAATGAAGCACATGTACAAGTACGTCAATATAATAATAAGTTGAAAATACCGAAACAAGACAGTTTTATTTAGAAACATTTGGACACGTACTTTCTGTAATTATTAATTATGCATTCAAAAACACCGAATAATCTATGCAAGTAAAAGCAGGTTTACTTTGGCCAAGTATCTTTTCAAAAATACCTCTTGTTTTAAGATAATAATTAATTGTGATATTTATACGCAGTTTTGATTTGAATTACTGTTCTTAGAAGAATTTAACAGATTTATGGACACAAACATAGTCAGTGACTACTTCAAGGCGGTATAAACATACACTTCGATACAGTGCCTGTGCATGCTAATAAACATTTGTATTAATAACATGTAACAATAACATGGTATGACCATCATCATGCATTACCTCTGTTTTGGAGAGTATTCAGATAATTATATAAGTACTTTAGGTATTTATTGGCAAACCATTTCTAAATTATGACGGATATGGTACCTGATAATTTCAATGTCTAATAAAATTAAAACTGCACGGTAAAAATGTTTAGCATTTAACAAGATCAACCATTAAACTTTTGAGAAATTACGGGTTACTTGAAAACAGTCCCTAATTTGGGTAAATTTTAAAGAAATTCTTAATTAGGCTGTTTAAGTAGGAAAATGGCCTAACACGTGTGAAAATGGGTGGGGTAAGAAAACATTAAAAAATGTAAGTTGTTTCCGTTATCTAAAAATGGATATCTCTACTGCTAAAACAAACAATACAAATTTAGCCGTTTTTAAACCGCTAGTTTGTTGCCATTTAATGTCCGACTTTAAATGTTTTACACCAATGAAAAGCTTGTGATCTTAGCTTTGTCCCATTATTTATTTCAACACATCGTTAAATATAGCAATCACACCATTTCATATACAGTGAGATACGCAAGCGGTTATCTTTACAGATAAGAATAGTCTGCCGTCTACTTGTTCGGAAACTGTCAATGGGTGTATAAAAATAAATTATCGAGAAAAATCAGAAATATATTTCAAATTTTTAAAAAAAAATAATTGTCTTATTCTATCTAATGTATTAGGGCATGACCAGACGTGATACACTAGAAGATGAGACTGGTAAAAAACTTCCGGCAATGACGGTTTTTTCGCTATCTATTGAGTACTTAAGGAAGGAAATTGTTGATACTCTAAGCAATCAGATTGTTGGCATATTTAATGCGTCTGAAATTGGCTGGGTTCTTACTGTTCCAGCAATATGGAACGATGCAGCTAAACAGTTTATGAGGGAGGCAGCACAACAGGTATGGAGTTGGCCCACTGGTTTTTCACCCTACTTATCTTATAGTAAATCCATCACATTTAAACCAGCATATACGGTACAGGGAATTGATGGCTATAACTTTTAACAACAATACTATCAAACTTAATTTAGCACAACAAAATAGTACATTGGTCCCTGGAATTTTTCGGCAGATTTCAATTGTGTTATCACTATAAAATCATCCAAATAACAATTTCGGTAAATTCTGGTGCATAGCACTGAACACTTTCACCCAAAATTGAGGTCCTGCAAAGATACACAAAAACAGCCCTTAAAGCACTCAGAAATGACACTTCATGTACACAATTACAAAATTTATACTTAAAATATAAACAGTCACACAAGAGATTACTTGAAATGGGCTACTTAAAAATTTAAAAGAACTACTTAAGACTACAGAGGATTGGGTCTTATTCCGTACCGTGGAGACACCGTATATGAATGTGAAAGGATATTGCACATCAACGTTAATTGTTTAAAACTACACTAACGGACTTTGAAAACGCATCAGTTGGGCTTTTGCTTTTTATAGGGAATAGCACATTCGATTTTTAAAATATTTTGTATACTGGAGGAAACATGTGTATACCATTTTCATGTAAAAGATTGTTACTGTCACTGCCTCTGTTGTTGAGTTATAGTAGAATATGCAATATTAACAGGCGTTCACAAAATCACAAGCGACCTGTTTTAATTATTAGACATCATTTCAAAAATGGTTAATATGAATTTCAACAGGAAAATGCTCCCGCTCACATAGCTGTCAGAACAGCTGCATTTCTTCAGAAAATCAAATAAACGTGCTAGACTGACCAGCGATGAACCAGACATTAGGAAAGTATACATTAAACGATTTTGGGGGTAGAGTCATCACGTGTACCCTCTCCCAAAATTTAGCATAATTCCCAAGCCTTTGTGCAAAAAATTGGGAAAACTTTTCAAACATTCAATTGTGGGAACAAAAATTTTAAAAGAGACAAAAGGGGTTTTTGCTTGATTTGGCTAAATTGGTTTTTAAAAACGAGATACCCCGGGAAACTTTACTAAATACATTAAAAAAAAAATATTTAAAAAAAAAATTTTTTAAAAAAAAAAACCCCCTCCCAACGTCCCGGAAAAGTCCTTTCCCGGAAAAGGGGTTGAAACTTAAAAAATCCCAGTAGACTTTTGGGTTTCAGAGGTAGGGGCTATGCTATAAAACAGGGTTGGTTTTTCATTTTTTTTTATTTTCTGATTTGCAAAAAGGAAAATACAATCGAAAATTTAATTCTTAAAAAGAAAATTTACGAAAAAAACATAAAACAAATAGTTTTAAAAACACTTATAAAATGAGAAATTAAAAAAAAGAATATTTTTATTTTTTTACAAGTATAAAAAATTCAATGCATTCAAAGTTTTAAAAATAGCCCTTGGGTTAAATTTTCAATTTAAAAGCACAATCACAAATTTGCGGGTGAAAATCAAAATTTTTAAAAATGAAAAATGCTATTTTGGGGTGTGATTAACCCAATACTTTTGAGCGTATTAACAAATAAATTTAAATGTCGGTATGGAATAATTTCATGTCGGGCCTTTTTTTTGGGGAGAAAAGGTTTTTGCTAAAATAAAATTAACATGTTTAAAAATAGGTTTTTCGGAACAAAAAAAATCGAAAATTTTAAAAAGGATTACAATTCCCAAATGGAAAATTCCCAATTTTGGGAAATTTTTTTGATTTTGATTTAGGCTTTCTTCATATAACTTCCCCGTGGTGCAGGGTTAACGCGCTCGTTTAAGGTGTGAGATGTCTGTAGTTCAAATCACAGTCGAGGCAACTATTTTTTAAGTGTCTTTTTTTAAAGAAGCAGCCACTATATGCAAGGATAAAGTATGGCTGTCATAAAACATGAACATAAATGATTTTTTGATGCAACTCTAGTCACGCAAAATTCCGTATGTATCAAACTCAAACTCAAATCTAAACGCAGTCGCTGCATCTCGTTGCCCTGTAAGATGAATTATAGTATATAAAAAATAATTCTTATACAGGAAAATACATACAGATATACAGTACGATTTAGATTGCAAAGATTAGAAAATACCACAGAGCTGGCAGCCCTTTGATTTTTTTTTCACGCAGTATATCATGTGTTTTTGACTATGACACGACAAAAGAGTCAATGACAGTAACATTTTTAACCTAGAATTATAGATACATGTGTTCTTAACTAAGCAAAGTCCTTAAGTGTATTATAATAAGCTAAATGCTTTTATTGTAAATGACAATAGAATAAAGTAATTAAAATTTGTCTATAGATTATTACTACTATGTTACAAAATTCAAACACTTTGAATCCGTTCATTGAATTCGAACCTCTACTTCCGAATGGAACTATTCATATAGCTATATGCAATCACTGTCCCTATGGAGTTGCGATCTGTCACATCATAATCTTGCTTAAAATATATTTATATACATTCAGTTTTTTCCATTATTTGCATATTTTCTTTTCATACGATAATAATGTAACGGATCTAAGCTGATTCGAATAATGATCAAGTCTATTTAAACTCTTGATTTTATAGGCTGGGATTCCAGGAAAGAACCTTAGGTTATGTCTTGAGCCAGAAGCCGCGTCTATTTATTGTCGTAATCTTCCGGTGAAAAAGAATACCAAGCAAGAAGTTGAATCCATTTTCTCAGTTTTCATCAGGAACAAAGTATCTTGTCCTTGACGCAGGAGGTATTCTTCTTAAATGTATTTCTAACAAAGAAAACGCTTAAACCAACAGTTTTCTAGTTTTATAAACATTTGCATACATGTATTACCTTCTCTAGACCTGTAAGAAAAATCATTTATATTTTTCTTAGAATGATAGTAATATGCCTGTTAATTTTTTTTTTTAAGAGTAAAGGATTTTTTAGTTTTCCTTTAACAGAGGAACAGTTGATATAACTGTGGCATGAAGTTTCTGACAGTGGAAACTTGAAAGAACTCCATAATAGCAAGCGGTGGTGCATGGGGAGGAACTAAAGTAGATTGAAGCATTTGAAGCGTTTCCTATCAAGTATTGTGGGGTAGGTAACTTTTCTTAAATTATAACGTTCATATAAGAAGTGAATATGGGAAAGTTACTGTAAATTTAGTTTAAAAAAGTTTTTCCCCAAAAGGGGTGTTAAAACTTTCCCCAAAACAATCCCTAAAATGTGTTTATGCTCTTATCGTGCCCAAAAAAAATTTAAAAATTTTTTGAAACTAAAATTTAAATTTGGAAAAATTTTTACGGTGTTTAAAATCAGACTTTTTTTCATTTAAAATTAAACTTGTATGAACTAAGAAAAACGTTTAGTTGTATTATCAAAACCAATTTCAATATAATAAATGAAATGTCAATTTTCAGTGTTTTAAATATCAATGTATTAAGGACCGGGTTTTCATCTAAAATTTAAAAGTCAACATTTTTGGGGGAAATAATTGACATTTTTTTGGAATTTTTAAAACAAAAACGCAAACCCATTTTTTTACGGGTTTGTTTTTATCCGTTTGTCTACTAGCCTCTCTGAGTTTATGTAAAGAATTCAGAGAAACCGATTTAAGGGAATTATTATCAAAGTCCAGATATGAAAAGCAAAGTCAAGGTTTTTACAAGATAAGTTGAGACTCGATAGTGACATCTTCAACGAGTTTTTTGAACCAACCGTTCGCGAAATAAACAGTCATGTAGAAAATATATTGAAGGAATCTTCCGTTGATGGTTGTGCTGCCATTCTCATGGTTGGTGGATTTTCTGAATCATCGGTGTTGCAAAAGAATGTAAAGTCCACATTTAAACAACTTAAAGTTATCATTCCGAACGAAGCAAACTTAGCAGTCTTAAAAGGAGCTGTCATTTTCGGGCACAAGCCTACAACAATAACTGAGAGGATATGCAAGTTATACACATGGGTATAGAACAGTACAATACGTACAGTGATAGTTGCAATCATCCTACAGGAAGAGTTGAAAAGGATAATAATGGTGAATTACGATGTTATGATATATTTACCATTTATGTAAAAGCAGGACAGTCTGTCAAGGTGGATGAGGAACAACCAGAAAGAATATGCAATCCTCAAACCGATGATCAAACTAATCTTTGTTTCAGTATATATGCATCCTTATCAAGATATCCGCAGCCTTACTACGAAGATGGATGCAATCTTCATTGGAAAATTAACGGTGCCTATTTCTGACACAAGCTCTGAATAACCATCAATTTGGAATAAGTTTCATTTTTGGAGGCACTGGAGATTGTTTTTAAAAGTCGTTGACAAGGAGTCCGGCGAAATGATGTTAAAATCTGTCGATTTTTTGGTTAGAATATAACCAAACTAAATCAGAACACAAAACAGACATATATACTTTTTTTATTTTTTAATTTGTTTGGGAGTTAGAGTAATCATATATACAGAATGCATGTAACATAATTATTGTTTTTGTTTTATTGCTTGAAGCTCATTGCGTTAATATCTACAATCCTTTCATAATATTGCTAAAGATTGCTTTTTTGTATATTTTATATTTCAATTTTGTAAAGCATTGCGTTCATTTTCGGTCGTGAACGATCAAAACATTTTGACGGCATTTGAATGCACTTTATATAATAACATCTTCTTGTATTACTAACTACAATATAAGAACTCTTATTTTCATACTTGTAAGTTAGAAAATGCAATGAAATAGTTATTAAACATGTTCTAAAATTATTATACAACTTCTATGATCATTTTAACTCTTAAATTGCTAATCATTTTAGAGAAATGCAAACAGACAGAAATTTGTGTCTGAATGATTTTTCCCATTAGTATGATTGAATTGTATTCAACATTTTCATTCTGGCTACAACATATACTGTCATTAAAGACATATATACATGTATTAATCAGGAGTGTAACCTAACACATAATTTACTCAATTATTATAAAATCATGTAAAGTGAATAAAATCAAAATAACACAAAAACAAATGTTTTGTTGTAATTGCTTTAAATAATTTTTAGCTAAATGTAACCTGTTGAACTTTTGTAAAGGATTTGCACCGCTTTGAAGTAAGAACAGTCCAACGGAGTGTCATTATCAAAATACAAAATTTAGCTACCAACAGTATAGAATCTGTTCAAACTGCACGGATGTGTAGCTGGTTTGCTATAAAGAAGTAACAGGAAAAATAGTATTTTTAAGGAAATTCTAAATTCAAGCAGAGATAAATATGTAAATATTGGTGCCTGAGTTATGAACCCTTGTCACAAAGATTGGTTGATGATAAAGAACATACATTTGAAGTTTTGAAAGTTGATACCTAAGAAATTACAAAGTTTATGTGAAAATATTTTACTGCACCAAAACTTTAATCTGAAATCTGGACGCGGACGCCGACGCCGGGGCGAGCAGGACAGCTCTCCATATACTTCGTATAATCGAGCTAAAAATCCAAATGGGACCTTCTTATCGACGGCTCTATACTGTTTGAAGATTTTTTTGTATCTAGATATCAAAACTTATAACTTTAATTTGATTTCAATTTAATTCCAAACACAACTAAACTGCATCTAACGCTTAGGCCACAGTGCTTTTTGTTACTTCATCGCGGCGCATTTTGAAATTTGTATCAATGGTTTTCTTGCTTCCTTTTGTAAAGAGCACGGGGATAATCATCCAAAGTGAACTTTTATGCGCTAAAGTTGTTTCACATGAAGTTGACTGAATCACGATCACAATAATCACGTTTAATTAGTTTTAATTTGGTTTTCCTTAATGGAATTCCACAATATATATAACATATGCGCAGGTTAATACGACGTTTAACAAAAAAATTATAAACATAAACAAATATTTTAAGTGGAAAGGGCCAAAAGTTACTCTTGACATCCAAAGTCTAACACGTCCATTTTTTTTCTTCTTTACAAATTGTCTAAAAATGGTTCTTTGACATGGCCAAAGAAGTTAACTTTTGTTTCTTAATGAGACAAAATGAAACCAATACGCAGGTTGTATACAAAGATAATTCACGCAACATGGGGAATTTAAAAACAATCTCACCTGGAATTTTATCCATAAAGTTTTTTCAATTTAGTAAGCACAACGCTTATTTTAAAAATTAACCTAAATTTTAAAAAAAACTTTTTGACAAATTTAAATTTGGGCAAAAAGGGGGAAAACCAATTAAATTTTCCCTTAAAAATTTTTGTTAATAATTTGAGACATGTTAATAAGACATTTGTAACTCTAACATTTGTGATATTTTACACATTATTTTCAAAAATATGATATTTTTAGATAATAATAAGAATTTTAAAAGTAAATACCATGTATATTTATTCTTTTTTAAAAGAATTTTGCTGTTTTTCTGCTGTTTTTCCTATTGATCATTATGTTTTATCGATAATTCAGCATGGTTTCAGAATGACAGAAAATTGCTTGCAAATTTAAAACAGGCTCTTGATATTCAAATTGATGTTCATTGTAAGTCGTTTTGAAGAAGTTCACACAATTTGCATAAAAGTATGAAAACAAGCAAACACTCGAAATTTGGTCGGAAACATTGTTGTAATAGTTCACTCAGTTGGTTGCAAGGTGAACGCAACTCCACTGTCAACAAATGGAATGCTGGTGATAATCAGAATATGTTTTGAGATATATTGCATAATTGTACAATGTCCTTGAAAGTTAATTCTTTCCAATATTTTGAAATTAACCGCGAGCAGGATTATTTCTTAAAAATTTAACCTGGAACAAAGCTGGTTAGTTTATGTTTCTGAATCACTGTAATATCAGCCTGTCTTATTCCAACTGTTAATGGGATTGTGATAAGGCTGCTGTGATTTTAATATATCATTCTTTGTCTCAAAGATAACCAATGAAAACCCCTGGATCTTGCAAAAGTCTACTATGCGATGCCATTTATATTTCATTGTCTGTAACGAAACGATAACAGTGGATTTCCTGATACAAAATCAGACTGTAATTTCTATATATTATGTGTAAAAGGAAAACAGCTTACAGCTTCGACAGTGTATTCTATGATCCACTGCACACGGCAAAAGTGACAGTAGTAGATATTGACATGTCGTCACCTTCGTTCACTAAGTCCTTCTAAATATAATAGGAGTAAACCAATTATTGCACTAAGGTGATGATATAAGGTATAAACTACGACTCACTATTTCCAGTTATGTTTGGAAAGAAATTATCCGACATTTAAGGAAATGTGAAACATTTTAATAACTTAAAAGGCTACGTTATACATGATTTTTATGTTTTTTTAAACTATGATTATATAAAAAATTGACTCTTTTGGATTGAAGGTCATTTTCAAAAATCGTGCGATTCTTTTCAAGATTTCTTCTTCAAGTTTAATTAATTTATTACATTATCTGCGCAATAAGTACACATCATATTCAAATTCTAAACAAGAAGGCCCTAATGGCTCTTGATCACTTACCTGAAGAGGTGGTATACATGGGAAAGATTTCATCATTTGCCCATTCAAATAAAGTTGCATCAAAATCAAATCAACCAGTTAAATCTTATTTCTATATTTAGCATGCAGTCAATCATCTTGTTTTTCTGACTTATTGACTCATTTTAAAAGTATCACTCAATAATATTTATTATTGAATTGAATCAAAATTTTGACCCAGCGCTCCCGACAATGTTGATTCAAGTTCATTTCATTTTTAGATCTGGCAGCCATCTTGAC